GAAAACAGCCATATCACCTCCAGAAAACAGAATTGTTCAACGAAACATATGCATTTCTGAACCTAAAAATTCCAATGGATCGTACGGTGTACAGAAATTCATATGTTACTGGGCAAAACTGAGAGTACGGTAGCCTCGAAGATAGCAACCCGTGTAGCATTAAGAAAATAGCTATATCTCTTCATCTGATCATAATTGTTCAGCAAAATATGTAATATTCTGAAAGCAGAGATTCTGAGCAATCGTGTGGTGCAATGAAATTCTCATATTACCGGGCAAAACTGAGAGTACCGGTGCCTTGAAGATCGTGCCGCCTATATCGCTAGAGCAATGCATATATTTATCTAAGGTGATCAGAAGTATGTGAACGATGAGATTACGGTAGATTCAACGATGGAATCTCGTACAGCATTGAGAAAATAGCTACATTTCCTCAGTTAATCATAATTGCTCGGCAAAATATAATAACCAGTATTCTGAAAACAGAGATTCTGAGCAATCGAATGGAGCAAAGAAGATCATATTTTACATGGCAAACCTGAGAGTACCGGTATCTCGAAGACCGTAACGCCTATAGCACTATACTAAGGTATATATTTATTTGAAGCGGTCAGAAGTATATGAACGATAAGATTACGGTAGGCTTGAATATGGCAACCTGAATGGGACTGAGAAAATAGCTATATCTCATCATCTAATCATAGCTGCTCGAAAAAATATATGATATTCTGAAAGTAGAGATTCTGAGCAATCGAATGGAGCAAAGAAATTTACATGTTACCGGGCAAACCTAAGAGTATCGGTGCCTTGAAGATCGCGATATAGTAATCTACACGATTGATCTATAGAGACACAATGTATATGAATGAGTGCCTATGCGCTAATTGAGATGGCTTTAGGAAAATAGCTATATCTCCTCAACTAAGTGAAATCTCTCGGCAAAATATATATTTTCTGAATGCCTGATTCCGCTGGATGGAACGATGCAAAGAAATTCATGTATTACCGGGCAATCTTGAGAGTACGGTAGGTTTGGATATGGCAACCGGTATAGCATTAAGAAAATAGCTATATCTCTTCATCCAATCATAATTTTTCGGCAAAGTTTATGATATTCTTAAAGAAGAGATTCTGAGCAATCGAATGGTGCAAAGAAATTCATATGCTACCGTGCAAACTGAGAACGGAATCTGATGGAGATTTTCATGCGCTTCAAAATTTACCACATTGAGAATGATTTGTAATGAAATTTGGCTTGCACTATCTCAAATACTTCCATCGCTTGATTATGCTTCGATCGTTCCCATTGTTCATCTCATCTCGCTCTCTCCGTCGCAAGCACATCCCTTTCTGTGTCCGTTACGTGCTCTCTTATGCTTCGAGAGGTGTGAGAACCGTTAGCGCGCTGCTCTCTCTCTCTGCTTTGGTGCACGCCCATTGTAATGTTCAGACGGCGCCCTCAACTTAAATTGAAGAGCTTAACCTCCAAATCAGCCCTGCGATCGCCTACCATCTTAGTTCTGACCATATGGGCACTTTCACATTTTTGGTTCTGCTGAAGAACGTAAATAGACTGAGGTGCCTGAAGCGTGTGCGTCAAGTGGCGAAGTGATCAGGCATACAACTTGACGTTAAATTTGTGGAACTGCTTGAATTTGTTTACTATTCTTGTGATTTCTGAAAGTTTTATGGTTTTTCGGGTGTGAATGAAAGAATCAGTTACTTAGCAACTCAAGCTGAGCCTGTATAGAAGAAGAGAAGGGGTCGATAATGCGGAAAAATGCGTTTTGAAAATAAGACGTGTGGCAGAATCACTAGTGTGTGGTTGGTTATTTGTGATGTGTCCCTAATGCCATTGGTATCTTTCCGATGAGGTTGTAGCAGCAGCGCTCGTTAATCAGTTGTTCATTTTCAGCATTGTGTGATCTTGTTGTTTCCTTATTAAAATAACGGTTGAGTGGAATGCTGAATTTTAATGACCGTGGGTTATTATTTCTGTGATATTTAAGAGACCCAGAAATTTTCAATCAATATCTCAACTTGTGAATAAATCACAATTTTAAACTGCGTTCTCAAAAACCTGCTAAACATTTATGAAACTTCACAGTAACGGATGCACTTCTTTGCAGATAGGTGACCGCAATTTCTCACGTAAGATGCCTCCTAAATCTCGCGCAGATTTGAAAAAAGCCGAAGCCGAGCGTTTGCAAGGTTTGTCATTTTATACATATTGAAGTGCGCTTTACTCTGAAATATACTACTGTTTTTTGATGTCTTTCACTTCATTGCTGTGATTCGTTACTGATACTCTGGTTCGTCATTGCTACACACGTAAAGATAATGGGTAATTTTGTAGCTAACATTCTATGGAAGGGGGTCGCCCCACACACAAACCCTAAAATGAGGCTAATCTAGCTTTTAGCTCAGGCTCATCACAGCCTGAGTCTTACTCTGCGACTCAGGTTAAACTCGGATCTGCATTGAAGGCTCATCCAGAGCTCAAATTGAAGCTTCTAGCATTACCTTCCTTCATAAAACATTAACTACAAAACCATCAAGATGGCCTGTTGTGAACTGTAAAGTTTTTTAAATATTTTCCTTGGTTTTTAAAATAATAATGAGATGATTGCAGCACTCGTCGTCGATCTGCTACGTGAAGATGAAAATAAATATTGTGCTGATTGTGAAGCTAAGCAGCCTCGTTGGGCATCATGGAATTTAGGAGTATTTTTATGCATTCGATGTGCTGGTATACATCGTAACCTTGGAGTGCATTTGACGAAGGTCTCTTTCATTTCTGTGATTTTATGCAATTCATTTTCCGTAATCCTTTCTGTTTTCAATGTGGAAGCTTTGTCTTCAATTTGGTCGTATATCCGAAACAAATGTTGCAGATTAAATCTGTTAACCTTGATTCGTGGACAGCCGAACAAGTTCAGAGTATGCGAGTGATGGGTAATGCGAAAGCGAAAGCTGTATACGAAGCTGAACTGCCGGATCATTTTCGACGACCGCAAACAGATCAAGCGCTTGAATCATTCATCAGAGCTAAGTACGAACATAAACGGTTCGTATCATTATTTGTTTTTTTCATTGATTCAAAATACAAACTGAGAATTGGTTGTCTTATTGCAAATGTTCGCGAAAAGTGTTACTGTCAAGTGAATATGCCAACTTCGTTTTATGGTGGATACCATACATATATTGGTTTTGCGAATTGAAGTTCCTGATGGAAATGATTACGGAGCAGAAATCTTTTTTCTATGGTTTTCTCAGGGCAGCTGTTTTTATAATGATAATCGTATTTCAAGATACATGCTGAAAGATTGGTCTCCTCCTCGAGTGGATATCAATGATCTGCCCCCTCCACCCGAAAAGCATCGACATAATGATCGCGGTTAGTTCGGAAATCTATTTTTGTCGTTGTGTAATCATTGAGCAGGTCTTCTTGATTATGGTTTCGTTTTGCATTGTGATCAATAAATCAATCAATTGTTCATTTTTAACAATGGTTTTCAGTTGCTCTTTCCAGTTTACAGATTGTCCTTTATGTTGGTTAGGCATAAGCGATGCGATTGTGGAGCCATAAAGTGTACTGAACATAATTGATCTCATTTTTTGTCTTACATCTATTTAAAGAAGTTGTTTGACCACTCAAAATGTTCCATTGAATATTTTTTCACAGCACGTCAGGTTCTGATATCCAGATAAATTTAATTTTTAGTGATTAAAACTGGCTCCTCAAAGGTAACAATACCACTTGGTACAACTGAGAAATTGAGTAGTATACCATCACCGTGTGCGACGCAGTCGATGACACCTCAGCCTGTTAACTCCAACGTCGAACCTCCTTTGTTGGATTTAGCTTCACCATCTCAGCCTCCTACTATCAGTTCTAACAAGCAGGTGAAATTTCATTTGTTGTAAAAAATTTTAGTATGTGACAGCGATAATGAAGTGATCATGCTCCTGCATTTATTTACGAAGTGCTCATTGAAGTGTATTAATTTGTTGTTTCAGTGCTCGGATGAGTTGAAAAATAGTGCGTTGTGTTGGGATGAAGATGCGGTTGATATGACATCTTCAAATGGATTGAACGTTGAGACGTTGAATGCACCTGCAGCTGCAGACCCTTTGGAGGATATGTTCGGACCGATTGTGAGCGCAGCCCCAATAAATTCGTCACTCAATCTTAACACAGATTGTGCATCAACGTCGGAAAGGAATGAGACAACCAAACAGAATACTTCTGCTAATAATTTAGGTGATTTGGCATCCATCTCACTAACATCAACTTCTGAATCCGGTTAGTCGTTTGTTCAAGTTTGAGTAGTGAACTTATTTTAGAGAAATCCTCATTTCCGAGGAAGGAAGTTTGATTTAAAAAGTTGCAGTGTTTATTGTTGACTTACTGTCAAGTGTGCGTAATTCAAAAAATTTGTTTTCGTGCTTATTATTTCATCCATTCAACTGTCATTGATTTATAAGCAAATAACTTCGTATTTATGATAAATGTTGCTGCAAGAATAAGTTATCTTTTACAGAAAAGAAGAGTAAATCGGATATATTGGCATTATTTGATTGTGCTCCGAAGTTGCCAATCAGAACAGCGAATCCGTTACAGCAGCATCAGCAGCAGCAGCAAATGCCTGCTCAGTTCACACAGGTACTTGTAGTTTGGATAATTGCAACCAGAATTTACGAAAAAATCATGAGTTTGATTTCGAAGTTATATTATGCGAAGCGTTTCACTTATTGCAGATGAATACATCAAACGAGATGAACGGTATGTTCGGTGCATTTGGAACATCGCAATCAGCTCAAATGCAAATGCCGCGACAAGTCGGCGGTTTCTATGCACCAAACATCATCCCACATTCTCAGCCTGCGTATGGACAGTTCACAAATCGTAATAATTTTCATTTTCTTTTCACTTATGTTTAAATTTGACAATCAGCTTCTTCAACAACTAGGAGATGTGTGCTCTTCTCATCTCTTTCATCACTTTGAAACTGATTCGGGCTGATACACATTCTTTAAATTTTACCAAAATTACATCAATGTTCCGTGGCAGATTCATCAGTGCTTTTTTATCTAGTGCTTGTGCATTTTAAATTTGCAATATAGGTGTATGGATTTAAATTTGTAAAGTTTATATACAAGTTTATGTATATATAGTAATTTAAACGTGATGAAATAATAGTTTATGATCTATACAGAGATGAATAATGCGATGCCAGCAATAGGTACGTTTATGAGTCGTGAAACAGCAGCTGCATTTGCCGCAGCATCTCCGTTCGCTAATCCGTCGATGCTCAATTCATGTGCATCAACAAACCCAAATACTACTTCTTCTACTATCCCATCGTCAACGAACGCCAATATTACGGCTTCATTCGATGCCTTTGCCGATCTTCAATCACTTCAAATGGTCATTAGCACTATGTATATTTATGGACATCTTTTCGTAAACAAGATGTTTTAGCTTGGAAATTAAACGACATCTAACATTTTGTCTTGAAGTTATCCATTCTGTCGATCTCATTGAACAAAAGCTGTGAGACTCTTCACTTCATTTGCAACCAAATTTTTAAAAATTCGAAGCTTCTGCATTCACTGTGCATTGTAAATGAACATGTTTCAAAACCTATATCATTTAATCAGTTGTGCTGAAGGGCTCAAAAAAAAAAATTTAAAGCTTTCTTTTCCAGAACAGTTTGTCAACTTGTGATACGTCCATCTCGGGTGGGACGATTACCAGTGGATCTGCTACTCTAAACCCGGTCCGTTTTTTTCACATACTTCCTTTTTGTGATTCACTGATTTCTTCTCGGAAAGTCTCGAGCAATAAGTTTGTTGATTGATTTCGTGTGATGCATCAGTAACAGTTATTCTTTCAAGCACGGATTTTGAATTGTGTGTAATTGATAAACGGCGATTCATCACCATCAAAAAAGAATTTATGGCAGTGATACGAAGTGAAACAAAAGTAGAAGATATTATACCCATTCGAATTGAATATTCTTATTATTGTTCCGTATATTTTTGGTTAACTTTCGCATGCAATGAGTTTAAAGATTGAATTGCAGCAACGGTTGCCACCGTCTAATCTATATAAAAATAACCCAGCTGCTGGTGAGCAGTTATCGCTTTCCACTTTGCCACAGGTCGATCTTAGTTCATCAGCTATCCATTTTTTAAAAATAATATCATCAAGTTAATGAATTGAGGCATTAATGGACAATTTCAAATTCGTTGCATCGCAACAGTCAACCTTTAAATTGTCAAGGTTCGTAGAGCTAAAATGCAGTGAAGGTTCGAAAAGTGGTTGACCCTTAGTTTCTGATCAGCGTATGATTTCGTCTTCTTTGATCGTAACAGTGAACTTTGCTTGCAATTTTGCGACGCTTCATCGATATGAATTTATGCTTTCAGGACTCAGTTCCGAAAATAGGTACATTCGTTGCCGACTTCAGTCGGCTTGGATTGGGGCATGGCGATGCGCAAATGGGTGCTGTTGAAGAGAATCCTTCACAGGCAAACGCTAGTATTTGGGATTGAAAGAGCACACAATAGCAGCAACAGTGAAATGCTTATCAAGTAACGTGATTGTAACTATCTTTCAGAGGTTGTTTTTGGTAATTTATATGGGCGTGTGCCGAAATTTCTGTTATTATTTATCCTCACTTCGTTTTTCTCAACTGTCAACTATTTGCACTAATTTTCGACTTCGTCCCCATTCATTCATAGGTTCACTTATCTGATGCGGTTGTTCCTTCTTTGAATTTGTGAGATATGAAACTCGCTCGTAGAACTTTTAACCAGAAACTTGCAGCTCAAAATTCAAATTTTACTTTGACTGAAATATTTATTCATTTATGCTCTATGCGAGATGAGTCTGACTGATCATTGTAGAGTATTCAGGTCAACATCATCCATGTTCAGCATCCTTATTCTATATTCTCTGTCCCATCATTGTATTGAGCTAATGCTTACGGGTACATTGTAACTGCGTTTCGAAAACGGTCCAGTTCATCACGTATGAAACTTGTGTTGTTTTCTAAAGTGAGAAGCTCACAGCGTTGTTTTCGTTTCCTTCTTATTCCCCAAAAGTCATTCCGGAATCTTCTTTGTTCTATTACTTTATTGAGTTAATTCATATATGAACGCTTCAGTAAACTAGTCTTTTAATTTTCACATCCCTATGAATAAATTTTCTTAATCTTCATTACTCATCGAGCAGTCGAATTATTATCTGTATGAATGCTAGCGACAGCAGAATATCGTGCTAACAGTAGTAACTTAATCAAACTAATAGCTACGTAAGGCGCGCGAGGAAGGTGCAGTGGAAGTTGTAGAAAACACTGATCGGATTGAATGAAATCGTTGATGCAACCTTTTTCCGAAAAAGTGGACGAGGCAACAAGTGGGATACTGATAATTGCGCGCTGTTGGATAATCAAACGTTTTGCTCGCCTCCATGTGATATCAGTGCACGGTGGAACTGTCATTCCATCGTGTGTTTTGTGTAGTGCTGATGTGCTTCTTGCAAAATCGGATATTTATCGAAAAGAGTATGCTTCGGTGATGATAGAAATTTGTACATTCAACAGGTTTTCATCGAAAAAGTTCAATTTGTAGGGCACAAATTCATGATCATAATCGCTTAACTTCAACAATAGAGAGAAATTCCCACTTAAGCCTTTCATTTGCATGAAGCAATTAGAAATATTTCGTTTTGAGAAAACCGCAGATGAGAGTACGTGAAATGAAATGTGAATTTTGGTTGTGAAACAGTACTTCTTTTGTGATCGGATTCTGTTCGTTTGTGATTTGTATAATTATTTGTGGTTGTGTGCTTTTTATGTAATATTGTTTTATCGACTCATTCATTAATTTTGAATCCAAATCATATTAATGCAAATTCACACACACGGAAAGGACCGTTGTGATTGATACTGAAAATTTTGCAAATCCTCAATTGATATTTTCGAGATTCGTGCACTTGTCACACATTTCATCGAATTTCTCGTTACCTTCGTCGTCTTTGACGGAATTTATGAGACTTCTGTTTAACAATACGAATGAATTATAACTTCAGTTCATGCGTGCGCGTTTACTTGTATTTGTGTGTATCGCATTACGTTTTTATGTCACGTCGTGCAATAATCATAAGACTATTATTCATTTGTTTTCATTACGTTTTATCATTCTCCAAACAATCACTATTCAAGAATCGTGATTGAACTTTTCCGTTAAAATTGAATCGGCTCTCAAATTTGCTCGCATCATTGACTCAATCCATCATATTTTATTTTAATGATAAACAGTTTTTAAATATTGGAAGAAAAGGTGAATGTTGCTATTCGAACTGTGAAAGATGGTTTTTTGTTTTGTTGAGAAATAGGCAATGGAATGCCAAAGATTCGTTTGTGGTTGCTTGACGAATGATTACTTCTGTTCGTAAACTTCACAATGGCAGTTCTTAAGAATTGTGAACTAAGTTCGCATTATTTTGTTTGATTTGGTTCTCGATTCATTCTTTTCCTGCAATTCGTTGTTTTTTGTTGTAAAATTATTCAAGTTCCCTTAAAAATTCGGAATTTGTCACGAAAAACCAAGAGGAACTGTCTCAGTATAAGTCGATTGCTTATTATTGTAAAAGGTGAGAACAAACGAATGAACTTAGCATAACTCTTATCCATAAACACTCATTCTGAATGGTATGTTACCTCCGTGGATCCTTCCGTTGGTTTTCTTGATAACTTTCACAGTCAGTGATATTGAGGCTATTTGAATTCATCATCGTTATTTTGCAGTTACGTTCATTGAGGTGATTTAGATGAATAAACTTCACATTGTTTTGATGGATATTTTGCTTTATTTGTTCAACACTATCTACTATTAAGCAATTACACAGTATTTTCTATGTTTTATTAATTGTGCGGGGTATTTGAAGCGTTCACGAAACCGAGTGGAGCCAGTCCGAATGGAGAGTGCTTTCCGGCAGGCCGATATCTATCTGATCCTGGTGTCTCGTCACTCATAAAGTATGATGATTTGTAACGATAATGTGTGACCTGGCCGCGAGTTTAAGTTTACTTTCAATCGTACGAAGTATTCTGAAACTGACTTGAAATATTGTTTGTCATATTATTGAACGAATCTTGCTGTATTCATTTCAAAATATTCGAAGCGATAAATTTGAAGTCATTCGTTCTTTACGAAAATCTGTTATGTTACACTAATCCTAGCCTTTCATGGTTCCGGATTTGTTCTGGTGAAACGACCGCTTTTTCGAGCATGTTTTGACGCTCTCGCAATTCATGTCTTCCTGCATATTCGACTGTTGATTTGCGCATTTGTTTTTGGCGTCTTCGATGAAGAATGAACATTGTTAAAATTAACAAAAGTAGTAACAGACATGCGCTGACTGTTATAACGATACGTGATCGAATCTGCAAAAGAATAATGAGCTAACACCGAATGAAATGAAATTACTTATGTGAGTAGTTTTATATCTAGCGTTTTGTCAATGGTTGGAGTTTGCGATAGGTGGACAAGGTAGTTTCTTTAATGTTGGGTGGAGTTGGAAAAATGAATCATGGTTCGGTGACGGAATGAAGTAATGTTCGGGCGTTTATTGAGTGGTTGCATAAAACGAACATGCTGACTTGTGAATTGGTTTTTTGCCTGAGGATGCGTGCTCTTGGAGCTGGTAGATGGATTGTGCAGTCCGGATAGGGCTCGACTTTGGGAGCATTCTGTGCGCAACGATCACAATGAATGCCACTGAAGCGAATCGGACAAACACACGACTGACTGCCGTTTTGTGCATCTGAGACTTTTTTATTTGATTTTTACAGAAGTGGATTATTATTTAGAATCGTATATTGTACACGAAACACACGTACATAAATCTTCGTTTTAGTCAGTATTGTCCGCGTTGGAACGAAACGAATAAAGCAATATTGACTGGAAGGGAAACACGTTTTTCGTCCGAATGAGTATTCACCAAAATTGCATTGATATTACAGTTTTACAAATGAACAAATTAAAATAACTTTTGAGTAATATTAATTGCTCGTTCGGGCGATCTTGTTTACTGTTGGAACTTTGCATACCGCAATAAAACGTTTTAAAAAAATTCGACTCATTCCGCTTACTGCGAGAAGCAAAAGTTTCTTCATGAACGTGATACAGCAGAAGCTTGAAAGTTATTGATGAACAGAAATACGACTAATATATATCGTTGTTTTCAGAGCATATTACAACATGTTGAAATTTCATGCTTTCACTTGAATAAAATGAGTCAATGGAATACATTCACCGAACACAAACAGAATTCATGACCTTTTCGTATCAAATATGGAATTTTGCGTTTAGTAGTCGCATAGCCTTATTTTCACATGTTATGAAATCAGACGCCCAAAATTCAGAATGTTTTTTAATATGTGTGCAACTAATGCAGTTTCAAAATTCAATTTATTAAAGAGTATACAAGTTCTCAAAGTAGGGTCATTAAAAACGACGGATTTTAAGTGAATTAGATACGGTCGACTACCGAATATTGCAGTTTTGTAATTTTTGTGACTCACCTGGATATCCATGTTGGCAAATAATTTCGTGGCAGTAATCGCCCTCCCAACCGTCTTCACAAATACACCTGCAATATCTCTGTCTTCCTATTGAACTGTTTTGGTGAAAATATTCGTAAAATTATGGTCGTTTGTAACACGATGTGCTTACCTGCCGTGCTTACGCCTTCCGTGTTCGCATCGACTCACATACTGACACTGTGAACCAAAAAAGTACCCAATGCAATGACAACGGCCATTTTTGAATTCTCCTCGATCGTTACACTGAATTTATTTGTTTATTCGCTAAGAAATTTCAGTGGGCAAGCCATTCACTCTCAAAGGTAGTCATTCACAGCAGTATTAGTTTGTTGATTCATACTTGGGTATATTTTTTTACGTTTGCAACCTATTTGGCACACAGCAATAGCCTAAAACGAGTTGCGGTAAAATACATTTAATCAACTGAGGCATAGGTCAATAGTGAGTACTTGATGGATGAAAATAACGAGAGAAGCAGTGACTGACTACTAACAGCGACATGTGATGAAATCTTTCTCGAAAAAAAAAATCAAAATATCATCAAGATGAAGTTGGGCAAGGCATCGTATAGCAACTATCATAAACTGAGCAAATAATTCAGATGAAATAATTTGTGCACAAATTATTTAGAACTGATTAATGCTAATGAAAGGTATGAACTAATGATGGAATAATAAGCAAACAGTGCTGAACTTATTCACTGAATTTATCTTGTAAGCGCTCTAAGTTCAACTCTCAACCCCGGAACAGTATCCGTATCGTGTTCGGACTCATAACTGAATTATATAACAATGTATTTTATTCACAGTGTTTGTGAATACCGCCCATTTCAGATTCAATACGCAAAGCAAAGAAGGTTGTTCAAACGTAATAGTAAAATGAGAGGAATCGTACTTGATTAGCTATCGGTACTTCACATAAATCACCAATCCAGCCTTCATCGCATAGACATGGTTTATTGAAAAATAAACTTTCGGAATCGTAACGTGCGCCCACCGAAATACCGTGAACTGAAATTTAGAAGGGATATACAAATTGTATTTTGACTCTCTTTGGGAGTCAAGTATTTCAGATTTGGTTACTACTGAAGTACTAGTTGGACAAGAAGAAATATTCATAAGCTATCGAAGCATTTTGAAGGTAAAACAGTTTGTTAGAGAGAGATAAAATCGAATACTTCATGTCTGAAGAAGTGGCTAGGCAAACGAATGCAACAAAAATGGAGCAAAAGTTTTGCTACAGAAATCGAAAAGCTTTAGAAATGTAAACGATTTGTTTATTGCATAAGTTGAAGTTTTCCGTGCAAAAACTGAACAGTTATGATAACTACAGATAGGTTCTGATGCGAACAGTTGCGCAGCTAAAAAAAGAACTCAGAAAAAGTTTTTCAGTCTATCATAATAAGAGATGGCAAACGAAGTGGACCTACCACAAGCGTAATCATCACATCGTGGACCTGTGTATGGAGGATTACAATCGCAATGTTCATTAGCTGCCAATCGACCACCATTGTGACAATACGAATCAGATCTCGCACTGAATACAGCATGATGCAATTCGAAAATCGCATTGAAAAATTATCCGAAATTGCAACAGACATGTAATGGTGTACATTGTGCTGTCTGCATTCATTGTCACAACTTGTCCTTTATACAATGTAAAAAAAATGACAAGAATCGTTTTATCATGAAGGTTTGCGATAGACATTATAGCTGTTGCATCATGTTTCACACTTCACTATTCATTAATTCATATGCATGCATTGAATTTCCCTCTAACTATAAAACCTTTCATTAATCTTTGCGTCTTAATGAAAAATTTTGTAAAACATTTTAAGTATTGCAGTCCTAATCGCAAATAACGATAATATCATACCGTCTAGCGATAATGTTTGAAAATTTATTGAGCCGAGAAAGAACCAAGTGTTCGAGTTTGTTGTTCGTTTGAAGTGAGGATTGCTGAAACAATATCCCTTGAACTATTAGCTCTTAGAAGGAGGCTGTACCATTCAACAGAAAATGATTATGTATCAACTTGAAAGTTTGTTTCTTCATTGCAATAAACAGTTGAAAAAGATCATGCAAAATTATTTGATGAATAGGTTTTCTACATTTATGTGAATTCATTTTCATCCAAGTCATGCGTAATTCAGCGATGTTTACAGACTGCAGAAAGTGCTTTCGTCATTGATGCATCAATGTTCTGTCCAATAAGATCAAATGGAAGATATTGTCAATAACAACTTTCACCATGCAGCATCAACCAAATGGCAAAAACAAAAATCAGACAAGTCAACAAATGATTTCAAGAATCTAAAGAATTTTTTGGTTGATTTTAATGAAGTTGCGTAAAATTTGATTGAAATAAATCATGTGCTACTACTGAACGATAATTTAATTATAATGTCAAATTAGTATATATTGTTAAAAATATTGTATTGAAATTGTATTAACCAAATGAGCACCACAGCTGAGCGTTACTATAAAATTGATAATAAAAACAAGAAATTTGCATTGATTGATGATCATCATTGTGAACTACAGTTCACGCGTAACGACCGGTTAGTAATTGCCAATAAACACATCGATAAATGATGGATGAGTTGACATCTGCAAAAGAATGCTGTATCTTCTCTTCAATGAGCATTCAATGAGCATCTATAGTTGTGAAAAGTTTTACTCGTTGTACGAAAATGCTTTCTCAAATCATTTCTTGTTCCACTGAGGCTAAGAAAGGAAACTTTTTTTCACTTCTGCAATAGCCGAAAATGAATTTCTACCTCAGTTGAGATTCTTTGGTTCAAGTGTTAACTAAACATACTCGCTTGAAACTGCAGGTAAGATTACTGTTAACAAGTACTACTTTCAAGATGTCTCTTCACGAACTAGTAAGAGAGTAACAACTGATCAGTAGTCGACTTTTGCATTTAAATTCGCTGCTTTAGATCATTTTAGCTTGCCAACAGAACCATATCGAGCTTGATTAAATTTCTCGTTAGTTCAGATCATTTTTGGTGATCTCCTAATAAAATGTTCATAAGTTCAGTTGATCAATATAGAGACACATCAATAAGCTAAGTAAAAATGCATGATATTGACGAACAAATATTCCTCGGACACAGATTTCAGTTGTGAAGGTTCTGGGTAAGTCTGAGTAAATTTTAACGCAGCCTGAATAGGAATAATACAAAATTCGCAACGTAACCGTCGTACACATCAAGAACATTCTTTAATAACATTGGGAATGCTGCTATATTCGTAACACGGGCAAATGAGTTGAAGATATAACACCATGTAAGAATGAACTAACGAGTTGAGTTCCCAGTTCTAGGCACAATCAAACCAATAACTTACTGTAAAGTTTCAATGCATGATTACTTTCAATCAGCTCAATGTCGTAAGTTTGCGAAAGGACAACGATGAAAGAACTGATTATTCAGGGTTCAGTCAATGATACATACCTTTCAAAAAGGTTTTAATTCGTTGAAATAAGCTTAGGTACATATTAGGTAAATATTAGGTAAAAAATAGGTAAATAAATTTCTACACATAAATTATGTGGCATGGGTAAATTGAAGGAAAAAATGTAAATTCAATTTGACTGTTTAAGATGTGAAATTAAAGGCCTAGAATGGGCATATTCTAATGCAATAAGATTCTCGAAGTTATTCCTCGGGTTTAAAAAATTCCGAACTCATTAGATAAGGCAACAGATGAGTACGAACTGACGGAACTCCAAAATTATGGAATCGACGAGAAAAGGATCTGAAACGCAATAAAAAATTAACAAATAGAGCAGCGAGACTAACAAAAACTGATTGGAGGAGAATTTAAGGTGGACCAAAAGAGAAGAATAAGTCGAGAATAGTAATTCTTCGTATTTCTTAGATAGAAATTTCAACAACCGGTCGTGATGAATGCGTATGATTATGTGTATGTGTGTTGTGATAATGTTGAATGATGAACGATAAATTGATAGTGTTTCCATGAGAGATATGCAAAATTGATTGTATACAGCATCCTTAATGGACGTCGTTGAATGCATCTTAATTATACCTTTGTCAGTTCTTTTCGAACAGCATTCATCGAATGAACAATTGTAAAATTGATTGAATCGAACGGATATGATTGCTCTAAAAAGCAGATACTTGCTCATGAAGCATCACTCATGGAAAGCGAGTTTAATACAAAGAGAGGTAGATATTGTTTGAGGTCAATAAGATTCAAAGAGTAGATCGTTTGTTTACTTGTACTACAAAGAATTTGTGGCAAACAACTCGTAAGGATGGATTTACATTATTTATCACAGAAATTGTTTGTCACTGATTTGAAATGTTGAACTATTTGAAGAGGGTCAACTGAAAGGGACGTTCGAATGGTCTAAAAATTTACAGATTCCAATAATATGACTCAAATTCGTTTACTCTTCGATAGCAAGCGAATAATACGTTCCTTTAAAAAACGTTGTAAAACGCACATACTATTGATCAATAGTTGTTTCTGAATGGAATATCCAGACTTAACCACAATTCTAGATTCACATTATTATTAAGAATTATTATTAGAAGCAATAATGATTAGCATTTTTGGTCAATGGTGCTCAATATGATAACAAAAATGGTCGTTCTTTTAACGAAAATACAACATACTTCAAGTGTATCGTCGTCCATTCTTTTCAGTTGGTGAACGAATGAGTTGTATTTATGGAATTGTTTAGCAAATACTTGATCCGATTTTGGTTCAAATTTAATTCTAACGAATTCTTTTCACTCATCTTTCTACAATGACATGAGCAGTTATAATGAGTCACAACTGAGATGTATTGTGCGTCAACTACACTTTTGAATGGAAAATGATTCATTTAAGAAACATATCAATTATATTCTTAAGCCTTCCTGCTATAAGCTAATTACATAGCAGTATTGATCATGACTACATTCAATCCAACGTTCCCATTTTGAAAAGATAATAAGAAATAACTAGAGACGCAATAAACCTCAGCAAAACTCACTTTTTGCTAATCTTAGTTAGTCTAAAACAATAATTAAAAATTTCAAGATTGTTGTGATCAGGAATTTGCTTTCCGGCTGGTTATTTTAACATGCTGTCTTTGAACAGTTTACAATGCAAACTTTTCTATCGAAAGGAGATATGTCTTATGAAGTCTACAGAGAATGAAAAAAAAGATGTCACAGGTAAAATGTATTTCAGTAGATCGAAGTTCGTTGAAATTTTTGTGATTCACTAGTGACTATCACGGACACTCAGAGTGGATGCATTGATGCAAGCTGAGATCTTATTGAATTCCAAGATCGTTCACATGGATGAAACTGAACGATTCAAATTTTTCATTTAAAAATCATAAAAATTTGGCATTTAAACGATATCCTTAATTTGATGTTATCTAGAAACGAGGATCATACATTTGATTGTATATGATTGTCGCATTCAGTCTGAATGGTTCATTAGACATTTGTTATGCATTTGAAAAAGTGATGTAAACGTCGTATTTCAGTTGATGTGCGCATATGATACTGATGCTTCTAGATGACGAAGAGATGGACTTTTGGTGAGAATTGCTCTTATTGAATGTAAAATTGATGAATGTGGGCAATTAGAATGGAAACATTTTCGAAGAATGTTGTCAGAAATGTTTTGCAATTTCAATAATGCGACATGTTGCTTTGTTTACTTGAACGATGATCTCTCCTCATTGATGATGAGGACGCTGATCAATCCAATAGGATGAGGCGGGCGGTACAGTGAGCGACTGTAAGTCTACAATTGAATATTAATCACTCCTCCTTTCTCAACTATTTATGCTAATACTGTCGCCCAGTCACAACCTTCAAATTTTTAATCGAGCGGAATTTTGCAACTGGCCTGATTGGTATATTCAATAATACTGTGATCCTGAGTTACCTAGCTGGATCGATAATTTATCTTGAGGAGCAATAGTCTTCCGACATATATAAAGACTCTTCAATGCAGTTACACATACAGTTTTGATTGATCAATTTTCAAAAATCATCGACTATTGCACACAAATGTAAAGTGGTTTATTTCTCCGTATTCGGAACTTCGCTTGTCCAATCATTATTTGTGCATAATTGCCATCAAATCTTCTGGTATTTGCCTCATGTCATGAATGGTCCTCTCACGAAACCTTCATACGTCTATATATCGAATATTCCCTTCCGGTCTACTGAGAAACTCTTTTCAAACTCTTTTTATTGCCTATGAAAAACTAACGCTGCTTTCAGCTAACTGCATCGAAGTGTCCTCTCAACAAATGCATTTGAGGATTTTATACTTGCTTGTATTGAAGTTTTCGATTACAGAGGCGCATAAATCACTATTATCAAGAGTATTGAAACTAATTTACGACCACGAAGATATCTGTAAGCTTACTTTAAATCTTTCGTCTCATTATTTCCAGTTTTCCTAACGTGAACAAGAGCTCGAAATTATTTTCATGATGTGTAAAAAAATATAAACTTATTAGAGAGTATTAAATGCAAGTTAAATTTTCTGATCATTAGTTATCTAAATATTACACATTTTACTGATTCAATCAATGGCCAGTGTTGTGCGAAAGAAAGGTTTTTTATCAATACATAATCAGAAACACCTCAGTTTCATTCAGAATCATTCAGTAAAGAAGCTGAACTGCTTCATCAAACCGGTGATCTTGTGAGATTGAAGATATTTGATGTTAAGAATTCAATAAGAACCATCCAATTTAGGCGGTGACGTTTTTGGTGAACCTTTCTGGTTACCTGTTCAAGCGGACTGTACAGTTGGTTGCGAAGTCAGTTATATTTTTAGCTCGTATGCTGAATCCTATCTTCTTTTGCTTCTGTTAATGTTCTTCTTTTCTTTATTCCATTTTCCATCATTTTACCGACATCTTTCCATGAAAAGAATGAAGGTGAATCAAGCTTTTAGACAACGAGTGAGATATGTTTAATGAATATTCGGTCTTCATCACGCACAGAAAAATGTCGAAAGCGTAAGTGGAGTTTTTTTTTCATAAGTTAAAACAACGTAAAGTTACGAAAGCAGTGAATAAATAATTTATCAAATTCAAAGAACGATTTTAGCACGTAATGCACATACGGTGTTTTTTTTTACTGCGTAGGTCGGTAGATCTCTTAATTTTGATACCTCGAATAAGCTTTTCATCAACTTTGAATGTACTTTCGCTGAATGATCGCCTCATTACGCGACATTTATTTTCTCTGCAAATTCAATGACAAAATCAAACTTGATTTTTCATACGATCTTGTTTCGAGTGTATGCACCATTTCGAAGTTATTTGCAAATCGTTTATGCAGTGAATGCGTTCAGTTCAGTTCCAATCGACTGTGTTGTGTATTTACGCAAAGCACTGAGTTTATCACCGCAACGCAACAACAAAAAGCATTCTTTGAAGAAAATACCAACAAAGGACATTTTGCAAATGAAAGCAAAAGCAATTTTAAAATCCTCTGGAATAACAGAGGTGAGTATATCTTTGTGAAGCAAAATTCAAATCTCAGTCTAATATAATTCTTTGAAATACCAAACTTATTGTTAGTTCAGAGCATCTTTTAAAAGATACAAATAACAGTTTAGTCGGCGAGACGAGGATGAATTGATAAAACGTTTTAAGAGCCGCAATAGATTCTCATCAAAATCGTCGGCTTCTGCAGTTGGAAAGCTCACAATGAGCACGAAAAGAGACTCGTTGTTCAGCAACGATCGCCGTTTTCGTATGAGAACCGAAGCAGGTCGATTGATCACAATAAATAGCGATGGTACAGCTAACGAAGGCGGTCTCACTGATATATATCTCAACCAACAATCCTCTCTTGCCGACAGTGATCAGTATATGCTTGATATTAATCAACACCATTCACCAACAGCATATCAAACATACGAATTTCCCCAATTTCAGTCTGCAACTCAGTCGACCGAGAAGACAAATGGACCACGTATTCTTGGTGGTCCTTTGGAAGGTCAACCATTTCTAATACCAAACTTCTCGATTGTTTTGCCAAACACAAGAGTAACATCCGATTTATTTGAGTATCAACTGAGTCAAACTTCACCACAAACGATTGCTGATGGGGATGACATGAATATTTCTGGTCTTGCACAATTAAGTGATACAACAGAAGGTGACGATAAAAATTCTATTTTGTATGATCTACATCGTGGATTGGATTCAGACGGCTCTTCGATGGTATCCTATTCAGCAGAGAATGATGAGACTCCTTTAGAAATCACTGACCAAAACTGGAGGAATACACCGCTTGATATCAGTCAATTGGTCGTCGACAGAGGTTCATTACCAGTGCAGTATCGTACAAGAAATACACCTGAACAACTTCAGGCGACTTCCTACACTCATCTAGTTGCAGCAGTAGCACATGGTTCGCCACCAAATAACCTTAGACTACGGCAAAATGATACTGACAGTGGTGACATTCGAAGTAATATCGATAAAACAAAAATGCATCGTAAGCCATATCAGAAAAATCCACTTATGCAGTTGACTTCTTCAAATTTACCGTAAGTTATCACTCTCTGCTAAGATTAGTTAAGATTTCATTGAAATTTAGTATTACGAAAATTATTATTGAGCATGCGAATTAGTCAACATTTAACTGCTTTGACGGCAACTAGATTGTGAAAAACGAATAATTAATGTTTTTGAAATGAGGGAATTATTGTGAGAAGGAGGCTTGTTTCTGAACAAGTATTATGCTTGTAAAGCATTTCTTTCTATCTATATTGATGAATGCAACGATTGCAGAGGTACGAACATTTTGCGTTTTTTGATATATTTAGGTGATTGGCAACTTTGATAATGATATTCATCAAAGTAACTATTTGCTAGGTTCAGAGAGAGCACCAGCATTGCATTTTCAGTAGCATCTAGATAGAAAACGGTAATTTCAGTGCCGAATCGAATGTTGAAAACAAGATACCAGAAGTTAATCGCATTGTTGAACAAGCCAGGATCGCTAATGGTAGAAATGTTGTGAACGCGCAAGTTGGTTCATTTGCGACCGTAATGAAAAATAATGGCATGAAACATCTAGATGGCACATTTCTGAATTCGAAGCGCATCAGTGGAGAAGATTTGCTCTCCAACAATCAGAATGTTGATTTTGTTAAAATGCTATTCGAACATCACTCTTCCCTTCTTCTTCGAAAGTGTCAATTTCAGACAATCTAACATTAATCAATAAAATGCGAGCAACTCGATGTGTGTTCACTTAGTATCAAACTAACTGTGCATGAATTCATTGATGAACATGTTTGTTCAGATTCTTCAGCCAACTTTCCCAACTTCAACGAACAATAGAGGTGACAGCGCATTTGAATTGAAGCGAATAGTGCATCACATGAGCACAAATATTCAACATCAACATCACACCAACGAAGGTTAGGTCATATTCCAGTTCAAGCTTCAATCACAGTTCATCCAACAGACTGACTGAGAGAAAGGTTCAGTTGAATGATGTCAAATTAAGGAAAACACGATCATCTCCCTTCAAAAAGATTAAATCGCGCAGACTAACATATTGATAGGTATAAAGTGTTTATTAGTTGCTTAGATGAATGACTTTTCATTGGTAACGAAACGTTTATCCAATGAAAAGTGAGAGCAGAAATTTGCAGATTCGTTAGTGGATTACAATGTGAGATGTTGTCAGTGGGCTCTTAATGGACTTTGCGAAAGCAATTGGCGAAGAATAAGACAACTTTGTCCAAAGTCGTGTGCATCGATTATTTGCGGGTGTATGTTATTTATGCTCATTTATATTCGATAACAGATCGTTCAAGAACTGACCCTTTCTAAATGAATTCAATCTTTATTAGGCAGCATAGCAACAACTGTACCTTTTGCGTTCCCCAATTGCGATAATTTTATTTCTTGGAAAGCTGAAACTCCGTGACGTCTCCATATTTCAAGCCTAGATAATCTGTTCCAAATTGCATAACGTTAGCTGCATTTATTCTCGAGTAGTAGGCTCAAACGTTTTCATATATTTAACAACCGGCATAGGTACAATTACACCTTGCCATGCTTCTCATGTTTAATGAAATTTTTTGGGATGAACCCATGATAGTTAGTATTGCTTCAATTAGTTGTTGCAAAAACTACGCTCAAGTTATCTGTACATTTCGAAATCAGTTTGCGCAAAACGCGTGCAATTGCCTTTATGCCTTCAGAGTTTTCTTTCGAAGTGGTCAGTATCTGTACGAGTCTTTTTCACGATAAATAGTAGTTGCAGTTGCAATATCTAGTAGTTGCACATTTTTACTGACAAAGACTTATTTCACATGCAAAAGTGCTAATATTTCAGATTATTCGTTGCAGTGCCTAAGAAAAGCTTAACTTTCACTTATTTAGCATGAAGGTTTTGATATAGGTAAAAGTAGATCACATTCACTATTCATGGATGATCTTCTGTGATTAGTGCCCATTTAATCTTTATGAAAAGAATAGTATTCAAAGTTTTTTCCGAGCATATTGCTCATCATACGCCTTATGAAACGTGTAGTGAGTAATCTAAAATTTCACCTTTTTTTCGAGAATAAAATGAATGGAATATTGAGAACCGTTACTGACAAGTAAATAAACAATGAGTGAATAAAGTCTGAGTGAATAATCAATTTTCGAGACTTATTTTGACGTTTTTCGTGATGCACGCAAGCCGCGCAGAGTGTGCGCGACTGTGCATATTATTGAACCTGGAATATCACCGTTTTCTTACGGAGTTTCATGGATAGATGCTCAAAATTAGAATGATATTGAGAATTGAAAGGTTTTTTGGATCGAATTGAAGGGGGAGACTTTCAGATCGAAAACATGATCCAAAAATCATTGACTTCTCAATATCATCCACAAATTATCTCATGACGACTAAATATATAAAGGTACAGCTATGCAACACAACTGATCTTTGAAATTGGTGTGGAATCATCCGGAAATTTACTTGATAGCACGACCTGTGAATATCTAGTTATTCTATAAAAATCCTTCAAGCTCATAACTGTACCAGTTACGGGCATTAATCAACAAGGGTTAGTCATTGTTTTTTTCATCTTGCTGATCGTCCCTTCTCTTTTCTAGCAACCGATGTGCATTCATGTAATCGTCTCATAAGCATTGATGTGCTCGAGTGTTTTCGACATCAATTTCCTCAGCCAACAAACAGCGTTCGTCATTTTTCATCTTCGTTTTTTATCAAACTAACCGCTTTACGTTGATCCATTTCATGAATATGCACAAAATCATGAAGTTTCGTTATTCGAAACGATCAATCAAAAACCGCAATTGTACAAAACATTACTTCGTCATTTATATTGACTGTGTCATATGCATTTATTTCGTCATCAATTTAACTTGACGCTTCTACCGAGCAAACAGAAGTATTGACCGCTGTATAGATTAGATAAAGATAAAAAATGAAAAGATTACCAAGACCTCGGGGAATAGCAAAAAGGACAGAATGTTGTCGCATGTTATACGTAGAATGATATGTTGCAAGTCGTTTCTCTTCAATCCAACTAGAAATGAGAGTACTGAACCTGAAGGCGTTATCTTCGTTCACTCCTAAGGCACTGTGAAACAACTCTTGAACAACTAAATATTCATGCAATCATACACTCGTTGAACCAATCGATTCACTATCTATACTCACATCAGCAATTTCGAGTTGTTTTTAGAACAAAACGGACCGACTGCGGTCGCAGAGCTGGAAAGAACCAAGCGAACCTTCAACTGCACAACTGCAATCGATAACTGTTGATAAGCAGTTATTACCTGAGCGTGAAACCGAATTGGAATTATTGAGGAGAGAATTCGCCATAGAAAATGAAATGAAAATGTGGAAATTACTGAGACATAAGACCTAATAAAATTTTGTTTATTGTAATAATGAAGTTCAATGATTGATTTAAATTTCACTTTGAATGTGTAATCACTTGGCAAAATTCAATATGAACTTGTAGGCAATGAGCGGTAACAGGTTGCGAATAACAACAAATAAAAACATATCTCATTTCACCTTCAACAACAACAAGCATCGTGTTTTGCTGTTTACTATAGCGAAAACAACAAATATGAGCATTATCAATCAGCACTACGCGCAGCAGTAATCAACGTCAAAAAGAGACTTTATACAAATATACATATTATCACAAGGCCATATCTTCTGCTATTAATCGATCATTCGATACTGTCCCTCGTCGACCAGTCGACGATGCTGTATTGCTTTCGTTACGACAGATAGTTACCGTATGATTCAAACTGATCTGCAAATTCACTTTCTTGTCGCTGATTCACTACAACAAAAAACATTTTTGTTACTCTCAGTAAGGAGGGCGATCAAAAACTGTTCACGTTTCATTTCAAACTGAACATTCTAAAACTTTAGGGAGTTTTGCGTAGTTTGGAAAGTTGATCAGTGAAAACTTGTGTATTAATAATGTAAATCCAAAATGGAGACAATGAATTATCAGACCGGCAGTTGGTTTTCGTACGTGACCGAAAAAGGAGGTTCATGAGCAGTCGAAGATGCTGATGAGAGAAAACTTTGACCACTTATGCTCTGATTCATTCTCGACCTTAATGTTGACATTAATATAGTATTAAGAAGCGACAATACAACATCGATGCTCCATCAATTCGGAGAATTCTTTCAAGGAATGTTGAAAGTCTTCGTGATTTAAAAAACGAAAACTGGGCCTTAATCCATCCATCCAAAAGTGAAGCACACGATTATTAAAAAAGAAATCGTTGTTTTACTAACAACGAGTGAAGATGAAAAGGGTGCACATTTAGAATGAAAGCAATCTCAAAGAGAAACTGATATCGCTAGCCAATTACCTATATTTTTGCTGTTGCCATATATGGAAGCGTAGATAGATATTTCTGAAGCATATTAGAAGAAATAGTAAAAACGTGATGATGATAAACACAATCAACGTGGGTAAATTAAGTGAATCAAAGAATGACATATTAGGCGACGTTATTAGATCAGCACAAGTTTCATACAATGTACGTTCTTTACCGTATTCTTGCATCGAATAGCACAAACAAAATGTGTAATTCTGAAATTCGCATTACATCAAATTAACATTTCATTATTCACTCTGTGAAGCTTCAATCTGCATAAAGTAATCTATGGAAGCTCATAAACTGAAACGATATTCTATCAACATATCCAAAACAGCAACTCATATAAAATCTTTCTTACACGTACGCAATTGTAATTCTATCGAATCAAACGATCGAATATTCCGTAACTGAAAAAGCAACTGAACAAAACACTAAATAAGAAAAAAAACCTGATTCGGTTTCAATCGCATAACATTATAGCTGAACCAGGGATTGTGCAACGATAACTGAATGGTTCTACTCGCCAGACCAGTTGCATCTTTTACATGCAGCAATAAGTGGATACGATCAGTTGCCTTGACTTTCAAAGAATCATTCCAAGCCAAAGTCACGTAATGAGGACCAACCTCAAAAATGAAACAGTTACAGCCTTCGAACTCTGGATCAGTGTTCACAATATCAACCACAAGTGGGCCAAAAAGGAATCCAGGGCGAGCGATTTTGGTGAGGAAGAATAAACTTTTTAAAATCAACTGCAATTGTTTTTCTCGTTTTGAAGTTGGTGTTTAGAACGAGAGGAGACGAATCGACCGTGATCTTAGCTCAGTTGAACGACTAATCCAAAAAAGTTTAAAACCCAATGCTCTGCATCAGCGATTCTCATAAAGAGGGGAAAGGGAGAGATTTTCGAGGAAGTGTCTGGTTTGTTCATAATTCTTTGACAGTTAATCTCTCAAAATACTTGCTCGAAAAACTCTTGAGAGCAATCTCCACAGTCACCGGATCAATTTACTGCTTTCTTTCTGATTAGTCGCAAAGAAGTAATACAGAGGGACTATTTCGATTGTTGGAGGGCAGAATGGTGGTTTATTAGACGGCCAAAGGGGACACGGAATGCAATAGCGTCAGAACCTCAAACCTCATTGTCTTAAAAGTCTCGTGGAATAGGCCCAGTCCTTTGAGTATCAAACTTAATAATATTCGAATACTGACATGCACTGGTCGTGCAGGCAAATCTAATTGTAATTCGGCATTGAATATACTGTTACATACAATCTTTTTAGGACCAGTTGAAGGCAATTTAGCAAATTGTCCTGCCTGCAGTTGGATCTTATCGCAGACGAGTGATGATGATTTCTTCAATAAACACAAGCCTCACCTCAAGGGCATATAAAGTGATCGTTGGGCTGATAACGTTCAGCTGAATTGTCCTGTGCGATACCTGCGATCCTCTTCGAACTGAACAGCGATATTCACCACTGTCTTCAGCGAATGTGGCTTCAAATCTAGAATAAATTCCTGTTCAGTCTCTCAATATCTTACTTGTTTTCGTTAATAAAGCAGACTGAAGTGTCAGTGAAATATTTATAATTAATCATCACTCCTCACGTTATGGTAGTATGATTATTCTCAAAAATCAATCGCAAAATTTCAGCGCTCAAAAGAAAAAGAACACAACAGCATTTTTGAAAAAGTTAATCTACGTGTTGAATGAGGATGTATTACCGGAGTTGCTCAGTTGTGACAGATATGCGTGGTTTCAGTGTGAATATTTGTGTACTGAATTGGTAACGAGGATATGCAGTTATTTGAAGAGGATTAATGTTGATAAACTCGTTAATATCCAGAAATTTAGTGGACGAAGCGACCTTTAATCATTCATTTAAAAAAACATAAAAAATCAATGGTATGATTATTTTATCTCATGATTCTGACAAACGTTCTGTTCAGTATATTCTCTTTTCAAATTGATTGTTTGTATGAACAATCAGCACACTGAATGATCAATTTACAATAAATTGCTTAATTGACGGAAACTAAAATGAAAAATGAATGAAAACAATACACAAAAATCATTCTCACAGCAGCTGGATCGGCTGTAATTTGTGTACCATTGGGGAATGTCCACGAGACAATATCAGTGACCTGTTGAGATGCACAATACATTGAGAACATCTCACCAACCGATGTGATCAGGGAATCGCCAAAAGGAAGGATCGCTTCCAGTGTGCAGTTTTCGTTGACTGATCGCAGATCCGCAAGTCTTCAAAATGTTCACTTTGCAGTTGAAGATATTCGATGGCGATTTATGACAATATTTTTAGATTTCGTAATCAAAGACGACTGGAAAAACGTTCGTCTCTAATAACGACCACCATTTGACTCAACTCAACAACTCTACTTAGAGTTCAAAACATTTGAATTTATGTAACAATTTGCAATGATCTTTTGGAATGTTCGCATTTAAATTCAGTTGAACAACGAACCTTTTCGATGCTCCCGACAGCGTTGAGCATTCGGCTTGGTCACGGTCCGAAATGCGATTGTTATACAGTCCTACGGTGTTTTTGATACATTCGCATTTCAGCTTATTACCACTAAGATTAATATGACTTGTTGAAGCCATAACTGATTCAGATACCGTTTGGAGGGCCGCTTTTGATACATTGAAACTAAAACAATGTCAATTTCTCTGATTTCAACCAAATGACTGGCCACTGATGTATTGCGCGGATGCACATACTTGCTAGATCAACGAAATATGTGTTTGTTCTGTACAGGTTGATTGCAGGCACTTTGCTTCACCTAATTTTTGTTTTATTATACAATACTTCATTCCTTCATTTGCGTGACTTTTATCAATACTGAATATTTTCTCATCAAATTCAAATATCTATGAGTTGAAGAAATTTCAAAACGACTGAATACAAAATTCTCTTTGCATCTGCATCTTCAACTGTTAATCACATTCAGCAGTTGAACATAAATCTGCAGCGTTTCTCTATAAGAAATACTATCTGGCGCACAGACCACTAACGTGAAATATATTATCATTGTTATTGGGTGAAGTTTGAATGAGTTAGGCTTCGACGAATGATAATCGATTTCAAACCTGTGAAGTGTGATATTCTTAGAAAAAAGATGTGGTGAAATAAAAACGAGGTTTACATTCGCACTCAAGTCGAGACGACGTAGTGATGGTAGCAAGGAAAAGGCATTCCTCTCAACGAGGCGCAACGATAAGCATTTTGAAATAGTGAGCTCCTGAAAGATTTTTTAATATGATTCATTTAGATTGACGTTCATTCAACAACCACAATGCCTCACATAAACTTGAACCGAACAGCAATGGACAATATTTGGTAGTTCCTAACCAAACACGTATGCACAGCTATCTTATTTGATTGAAAGGACGTTCAGAAAACTTGAAAGATCGAAACTTGAACGCCAATTTATGCGAAATGGATCGTAAATGATAACACGGTAAATGATAATAATACAGAATAATTTCAACACGAAAAATTTTCGCCGACATATATTCGGAGAATGTCAAATTACTTCAACGTGCAAGAAGCTGATACACTCCCATAAAGTAGTTTTACAGACAGTCAAAAATTTTGAAAGGAACGAGACAGCGATAAATTGTGAAATATAATAACAAGCGAACAAACCTGAAGAGCTGGCAGTACAAAATCACCATCAGCAATTCTATCAAAATAATTACCGTCAAGATGAAGGGTGCGTAGACCTATGAATTGACGTAAATCTCCACCAGGTATTGCACTGAGTTCGTTGAATGATAAATCGATCATTTCAATCTGCAATTGTCAATTACGAGTTGTGTATCGCTTCTTCTTCATCATTTGAAGCATGTTAAGAATGTTTGAATGAAGCATAATAATGAAGCATTTCATTTCAGAATATATTCACAGAAAGATTCATTCAATTGGATTACGGAGTACAATTCACTTATGAGGCACATTATTGTATAAATTGAACGAATGACCAATGTGTACCTGATAAAGTGTCGAAAAAGAATCATAATCAAAGCGCCGAATCATATTATTTGCGAAATTGACCGCACTCAATCTATAAATGAACGCATTCGAATAAAAGCTAACATGTTCAGTAATAATCATGCATCACTTGCTATATTTCCAAGAAATGAATATAATTTTGAGACTGCACGGAATAATATTCTGTCGCGTTAACTACAATCCGATTTCGGAATACTCTCTAGGCAAACGTTGAACGCTGAGAATAATGATTATTTGATTGCCATTTATACTATGAAGCGCTAATTCAACGTTTCGTCTCAATGGTGCACCTTTCGAATTCTATGATTGAAGCATTGATGTCGGATCAAATTTCGTATTTGCTTAAAAAATCAGAGTAAACTGACTAGGTGTAAAACTACAAAGAATAGTGAAGTGATCGAAACAAGATTAAACTTTCACTTCTGTGCTGCAAAAAAATTACTGCTCTGAACAACCGTTAATTTGTTATGGCTCAGATCGAGGAATTCAAGACTCGTTGTGAAGCGGAGCATGTGCTCATTTATTGCCTGAAATACGAATAAGAATGTGTAATCCTATCAGTGTCAAGCAAACTTCATTCTATGTTCCCATGAGCAATATTTTTGCTTTCATTCGTAATTTCTTCAATAGATTGGCATTCAGTCGGAATTTCTTCAAAATCAATGGATTATTGAATGAAACAAGCCACTTACCAACAAGTTATTGTAAGCGAGTGACAGCCGTTTCAGTTTAAATAGTCTAAATGCTTCCCAGTCAATATTCGAGAGCTCATTATGACTGAGATCGATGAGTTCAACATTCGGAAACATCAGGAAGGCATCTCTTTTTAATACCTGAAATTCACATGGCTAATTCCTCGAAAAAATGGCTACAGTGCTCTGTAAATTGAATTGCGAAATTGAAATTCTTACTCGAAATTTATTGGCGCGCAAAATTAAAGTGGTCACAGTTGGATATATGCTTTGTGCAGGCGTATTAAATGATTTGATACCATTCGACGAAAGATCCAAATACCTGGAATAAGCAAGTTCTGAATGCAAAGACAGATTTCTGCATCTGTTAGTTTTAACAATTGACATATGAAAGTTTACTGTAAGTGGTCGAATAAGGGTAGAGGGACTGGATTGGGAATTGAATTGTTCACAATGGACAATTTACGGAGTCTGCTCCGAAAGTGATCCCCAAAAGCAATCGTGAATATCTGATCAACTGCAGCAGATGATGGACAAAATACTTCCGCGTTATCTGAAATAACCAAAATCGATTGCGTTCACTCAATATACCGATGAAATATGAAATGTGAAATTAACTTTCATTGAATGGGAACTGTGAGATTAAAAGCACTCACCAACACAACTACATCCACGAGGACAGTGATCAGTCTGCTTTGATTGCACTTCAATCAACAACGTTAATACTACAAGTTTAAACATGCTTCAGTGTCCATTGACGGCTTTTATCATCAACTCACAATACTATACATTTGAAGATGCAAGTTCATCAGCACCAAACTTGGTATCGTTTGCAATTCATCTGTTTTAGAGTGATCACTATACAAATGAATTTCCGATCGGAGTTCCATCGAAACGCTCTTGCATGAAGAACTGAAAGAGCACTTATTATGCCTTACCTATCGATGTTGTCGGTTACGCAGTGAGTGTTCATTCAACCATAAGGGACTGAAGCTGACTCAACCATCAATTAATATTCAACAATGTTCAAAAAGTTACACGTCAAGAAGAGATAAGAGGAGGGTCTAAGCTAGAAGCCCAACAATGAAATGAGCATTATTTGTTCAAACACCAACAACAACGAGCATGTGTTTGGTTGATTGGATAAAGAATGATTGAGTAATTGGTAGAGTCAGAAAGCGGATTAGATTTGCACAATGAATAATGATAAATGATGTAAAGAGCTTATTAATGAAGCAGATAGGGAAGCACTGGCAATCAGGAATGACGCTTGATTGTATTAGCATCATCATGGTCACTGCAAAGTGTCACAATCAAGTTGCTGCTCCTGATGAGATCGGCTTTGCTCGATTCGGCTCAGCCATTGACAACACAAATCTCATTACGACTAACAAACGACGGCCATTCCATACAGCATAACCATAATGAAATTTTGCTTCTTCTATCAACACTTCAGTCAGTGCTTGCTTCCTAACTTCTTACCATCATTCATGTGTATATTCATAGTTAGTTGAACATATCTCTTTCACTTCAGTGTCAAATGAACACACACATAAACAACTTTTTATCGCTAACTTTTTTCGCATTGCAAACGGCAGTAATCGAGTACTGTTTCTAATCACCTTTATGAAAAGGATATTGGAAATTCGATCTTATTCTCAGGAGAGTTAGCATTTGGCATCACGATTCTGTGCAGACAACACTGAACTGATACTTCAGACAATAACAGCTGATTCGTATACTACACTGAGTATTCGTGAAACAACAACAATTTCCGAGGACACTATGTGAATTGATTTTTGAAATGAATCTAAAGAATATCATCTTTTCTGAGTTATTTAGCTATCAAATAATAATTGGTATGAAACATAGATGTGAAAATGAATAAATGGATCCAGAAATGGTCTACTCGATCTGCTAAACGCAATAAGTTTGATTGAGTTGTTGAATTTGTAGTTTGATAAGGAATGAATTTTTTTTTCACTGAGAATTCACTGGGAATTTTGACCGGTAAACGTTTGTTCATGAACTGAACGAAGTAGATAAACAACTAGGAAGAAGTGTGAATTAGCCGAAAATTTAATCATCTTGTTTTCGACTCATACACCCAAATACGAATAATAATTATTATTGCTATAAAAGTTTTATTGATCATAGTGATACCGATCTCAATAATAATGGTGATAGTAATAATAATAAAAGTAATAATAATAATAAAGCTAATGAAATGACTGAAGTAATAAAGGTTTGCAGTGAACAATAAGAAGAAATGAAGTAATCATGAGTGATAAGTTGAAAGAATGATGTGAAATGAGGAAAAGGAACAACAATTAGAACAATGCTGCACTAAGCATAGCCATCTGGCGATGACATTTGCTTATTGAGGCGATTAATTAACGAAACGAATGTACCGAATGACAACGCGATCGCTACGGGATAGCATGGCATGTTCGATGTTTTCTCAATAATGAATGATGAACTAGATTGAGAACTGGCTGCTGTTTGTTACTTTAGTTCTATTACTGTCTTCAGATAGACTAATTTTAGAAATTTTCAAAAAAAAATCACAAAGATGTAACTGGAAACGGTATAAGAAAATTGAGATCGTACGAAATGAAGAAAACATCATCAACCTCTAATCACAGATCATCGCAAAAATACTAGACGACTGTTTTCTTTCGCATAAAAAAAGTAAACTTTCTTAGATGATAAATCAGGTTATCACCCCAAAGATTATTTAATCACCCAAGAAGAATGCCAAAACATTTGATTGGAAAAGTTACAATTGTGAATTTCGGACAATTTTTGATTTTCGATCAAGAAAGAGCAAACGAAACAACGAATGTAAAAGTTGAGGGTAAGTAAGTGTTGCTTCCGTTCGAACGTGACATAAATTTGAATAAAATTGAACTAAGTGCGATACGATGAATATTAGCTGATAATTTGGTTGCGTTGAGAAGGATATGTGCACTGGACGAGGGAGATGAAGAGAGTTGATTTGCATCTGAATTTGTGATTTAACGCCATGAGTAGCAGTTAAAGATGTTAATGAGGTCCCGCGGGTGGGGTTCCAATCGAGCAAAGCTTTAGCAACCAGCATCGCATGCTCCATTGTAACAATCACTCGCTTCATTCAACAAATTCACCAATTTACACAATTCATTCATCTCCTTCACTATCTATCAATGCCACCCATCATCTGATTTTACCAACAAAACACTGATTCTATCATATCCTGTCCTTTCAATCACATTCACAGCTCATTCATAACTTTTCAAACACATAATCAGTTCAAAATGAATCCTTCCAAATCAGCCAGTTCCTAATGTGGCACATGCATATGTTTATGGTCGATATCTATGCTACCATTTCAAAATAAGTGATTTTAATTCTTATCCTCTTTAAGCACCCGAAAATTTCAGTAACTATGATGAAAAAAATCCTCCCATTCACAATATTAGTGCAAATTGAAAATGAGCCATATTCGTTGTGAGATTGAGCTAGCCAGCCATGCAATTCGATTCGTGTAATGATTATCTATCTCTCATTAATCACAAGTCCAATCTGATCATTTGAATTTTATAGGCGAAGTATTTACGATTACGATTACAAAATTATGTATTGTTAGTGCGAGTAATCCGAAAAGTAGAGATGTACGAAGGACGATTAAAATGAAAACTGAATTGATAATCAATGCATTCGATACGACAACGCAGTTATGGTTGAATGCTTGCGTTTCATGAACGGAACAACGCTGCGTGCACACCAGATAAATAAGCTTACTGCGCACATACTTATTGTTAGATAATGATATGCTGCAATTCAGTTGCGCTATGCAAAAAGTGATATTAATGCAAAATTAAAGAGAAAAAAACGTCAAACGATACCGCATAAATAACAGCAATGAAATTAATTCCATTCTAGCGATGAATTTAATTGAAGTTTTGAACAAATGATTGATTGAATTGAAACAAATTCACTAACGGAATCGAAGCGATCAGTTCATTATTCCATTAGCGATATAACTAGAGATTGGTAGAAAGTAAAGTGCTCGTATTGATAAGGTACTTTTTATGATGCATTAGAAAAAATATCAACGAATGATTATCCTCATGAATGTGCTCAGTTAAACGATAACAACTGCGAATGTGTTCTGATGAACAATTACGCTACGCGGCTCAAAACATAACTATTTTGATATAAGTATGGCACTTACTGCAATAATGAAACTACGAAGAGTCTTTTAGAATTCGAGGAAGTGGGTGAGAAGCATTTAGAATGACAGAGTGGTAGCAAATTTTGATGGAATTATGCAGGAGGGAGGTTGAGTTTGAAAGAAAAAAATGTCAAAATTTTCGATATTTTCGTATCAGAGAAAAATCATTTGCAATGATTGTTATGGTTGAACGAAATTTCTGAAATGCACAAAACGACAAAATAAGTGACAATAATGAGGCACAGAGAAGAAATGCAAAACGCAGGTCATTTATAATAGCAAATGTTCGAGTGGATGGAAAAGATATGATTTCCAATGGGGATTAAAGCTTTGTTACAAAGGGATTTCAAGAGAAGAGGAGTTAATGAGAGATGTCTGTCTATCTCGTTATGCAGACAACAATACCAATACGGCGGTCGCATAAAATGCTTGATATCATACTTAATAGTACGAAGCAAACAAATTTTTTGAGGGTTCTCTTTTGTGAACCACTAAATTTTATTTATGATGCAATTGAATTTTTGTATTTATTACGCTTTGAGAGTTTCTTCTCAATTTCGACGAATTCGGTCGTCATTTTGCATTGAATGCACTTAACTCAAGAGTTTAAAATGTTCCTTTCGTTACTACACTTTTTGCTTATTGCAATGACCATTTCAATCACAACCCACCAATTTGCGAATTCTATTTGAATTGCTCTTGACACTAAAAGGGTGATGCAATTATCTCAAGATATTGCTAATAATTTCACTGAGGAGGTGATATGTTATGCAGTATACTGATTGATCTGACGCATTCCTCTCAAATAGTTTCTGCAATTGTCTACCAGGCTTTCAGCCATACCATTTCTTGCTTTAAAGCAACAATGAATTACAAGAATATTCCCCTACTAACAATAAGCAACAACTTGCTTCAAAATGATATACCCCCAATTTAAAGCCTGTACTACTGACTAAACATTACATGCTTCTGACGTCAATGACAACAACAAAGTGTTTATTGACACCGAAACCTCAGAAAACGAATCCGTGCTATTCATTTCGTCATGCAACTTCTCCGACGTATTTTCTTTTCAGTGAACAAAGCTTGATGCAGCAAGAGATGTGCAAATTAAACAACTCGACGATATCTTATTTCTTTGTGAATAATGGAGAGTGTGGTAAGAAATTGCAAACCACAAGTTGCAAACTTCTTGGTACCTTAATAAAGTACGAATTTTCTCAGCGGACCACCCAAAGAAAAACATTTGTTAGAATCATCATATTAATGATGATTCATATATCATATTGTTAGAAGTTAAGTCGAAGTAAAATAATCTTTATTATCAGTACTGGCAAATAGCCGCTAGCGGAATGTTGATGGGAAAGGGTGATACAAACAAAACAGGGATTCATTCTTTATCCAGAATTCATTTTCTTTCTTTACTTCTCCAATCCATTGCAATCCAACTAATAATCAAGCATCGCTGAGTTGGCTAATATCACGACTTGGACCGTGAAGTAAATTTGTGAAAACCCTAAAACTATCCCTGATCACTTTTTTGTTCCCTGTTCAGCCGTCGTTTCGTAGACGACTTCCCAACTGCACCATACAACGCTCCGATGTGTCGAAGAAACAACTCTTTGCCAGTATTGTTTTGCTTCTGACGGCAGCTTACCCTATGCGTTTTTTAAATGTAGCTTCTTTCTATTGTGATGGAGGTGGCGAGAACTATCTCAATTTTGAGCGTGCTCCTTCGTGAAAAACAGACAATTTCAATTTTCTTCCAGTATATATGTCAATTGTGACTATTGAACATCACCATTGGTCACGCCAAGCCACATAACTCTCGTAACTTAACAATTGGCGTCAATTTTCATTGCCTTTTTGGAAAATACTGAATCTCTGCTACAAAATGGTATCCAACATTCCTACTAATTTTTTTATACACAACAGAGAGAATTTCAATTCCTCCAGTGTACATGCCAATTATGACTATTGAACATCACCATCGGTCACACCAAGCGGCATATTTCTCGTAGTTTATCAGTTGATCTGAACATTTAAAGTGGATCTCTGTAGTTATCAATTTCGTCTACAACATGGTATATATCATGATTATAAATTTACTCAGTCGGGTGGGTAACAATTCAAATTATTCGTTGAATTTTTGCAGTTAAAGCGAAATCGAGAATCTCAAACATGCCTTGACCGCTGGCTAATCTACGCATCATGTTTTATTTTCCTGGACCTTCGCTACAGAATGGTATCTGAAATGCCCGGATTCATTCCCGTTAAATGGGGGTAAGGAATTCGCATTTCTGAACACAAATCAAATGAAAATCAGAGTTCCGTCATTTGGCGAACTGTCCCTCCGTTCGTACTTGGCGAACTGTCAGCATTCCAATGCGATAAATGTCTAGGCCAACGCAGTGTGTGGGATGGCAAAAGTGATGAGTTCTTTGCAAAAGTGTGGACTATTCTATAAGTCTATGCGCAATTTATGATATTATACGAAGCGGATCTTATATAATTTCATTTACGTGACGATAATAGTTTCGACCTAAACTGCATGGTCAAACTGTTTCTTGCGGATATTTAGTTCCATTATTTCTCGTGAAACCATAACTATGTGAAGCAACGCACTCATCGGCTGAAAGTTGAGTATATTTTTGATAATTTTGTATTTTAGGTTGGTAAAATCAAAACGGCATTTCATCCACATTCGCAGTTGAATATGTTACTTAGTTAGAGCACAGCAAGAAATGTTCGCACGAACAAAATGCCGTTGTGATTCTACCAATCTGGAATACAACATTACCATATTTTTGATAAGCCATCGTTCTTAGCTAATTGCTTATTATGTCCAGTTTATCGCGTATATTTTTACTGACTACAGACGTCAAAGTTGCTAGGTTTTGTCGAAGATGGAAGGAAACAGTCGTCCTCTTTTTGATCTACCGGAAGTTTTGGACAATGCTAGTGGATGGGGTCCAGTCGGTACTCTCGTGAAGTATCAAGATTTGCCCTATCAACAGTTCAATAAGGCTGATAAAATTGGGAAGGTTGCAGATTGGATCGGGATAAGTCAGTTCAATGAACGCTTCAGACGTAAGTTTCTCAAATGCCAGTGAAATATTCAGTTTAGCATAAAGTTCAAGCAGTGTGTTTCATCGATATAACACCATGTAACATTTGGAATTGAGTTTGATCATCATAAATTCATCAGATCACCGCGGTATTTTATATAACTCACTGTTTTTCATATCTATCGAAATCTGATTTGATTTCAGCTGTGGAGGTAGTGTTTAACTTGTGAAGCAACATGATTCTCGTTTAGTTTACGTGATATTTAGGTGGCGATCGATACGGTAATCAGTACACGTCTGGTGCGGTTGGATCGCAGTATGATTACGTGCACGATGAAGAAGATGCTACATTCCAGCTGGTAGATGGAAGTAAACCACAGCGATCTAATGTGCAGAGAGGAGGTCGATTGCGTCAGCAGCAGTTGTTCTATGTGCGTTTGTTTCTCGTTTAGATCCTCAGATACATCGGATTCTTGTAGTTCATGAACTTTCATTCAGATTTGCATCGTAGTTCTTGTCCAGTACTTAAACCTCTTAACGCTGCGACTTCAATGCTTATCGGTGTCAGTTTAATAATAATGTGTTGGTGTGAAGATAGATCAAGGTGAAACAGTTGTAAATTGATGCTACAGTTACTTCGTTTATAGCGAAGATTGTTGCAAAAGGAAAATGAACGTCGCAATCAAGCGGCTTATGGGCAAAATCAAAAGATCAAAAGGAGCATTGCAAAGTAAGTTTTAAGATATGCTCGTATTAATCTGCACAACACTCGATCTGAAATTGTTTACTTTCAATCTGTATTACTGTGCCAATAGTGATAAAGCTGATATACGCTGTGTATTAGGGAACAACAAAAGGCGTTCAAACAATGGCAAAGACGAGGAGGCGGTGCTCGTGGTCGTGGACGTGGAGGTCAGGGTTATGGAAGATGGGATCAACGAAACCAGAAGCAGCTTGCCGCAAGTATCGCTGTTCGTCCTGAATGGCAGGTTCTTGAAGAAATGGATTTCCCGCGCCTTGCAAAACTCAACTGGTATAATGTCGAGCCTGGTCAAGATATGTAAGTGATGTCCCAATTTAACTTTATATTTTAATTTTCTTTCAACAGCCATAGACATATTTGTTCTCAGAAAATAGGTAAAATTTTATATTCGTTGTAATTTTGTGTGAGTTGTTACATCTTTTTCTAGGCAATACTTAACTGCATTGAAGTGTGCAGCAAGTAATGCTGTTGTTGAGTTGACTTTAAAACTTGCAGTAATGGTCATCGTTACGGTCAGTTATATTACTATGATAAGAGTTTCGATCGTGTTACGGTCAGAACAGAAAAACCATTGCAACGTTGTGGAGGCACGTTCTATAACTTGACCACTACGGAGGACCCTATCATACAGCAGGTTTGATCTTCGTGATGATAAGAATTTAAAGTATTGGTCGTTTGTTGGACACAGTGAATTGGATATCAATTGCATTATTTTCCTCATGAACAAGGAGTATATCCGATTCACTACAAAGCGTTTCTCGATAGTTGATCCATTGAAATATATTTATTTTGGTTGAAGTTAAATTGGAATACTTGTTTTTTGAAACTGTTGAAAAATTGAATTGAAACACTTACTGAAATGGAATACCTATATAATATACTTATTCCTCATTGTTGTAAAGCTTCTGGTAGGCAGCTGATTATCAGATCTGAAATCATCCTCTGTCGGACGCATGGATATAACATAACGTCATGTCAGTAATAAGAGGTGCTTCTAGTTGGCACAAGAGGATGCAGGCAACGTGTTCGCAACAGATATGATATTAGCTACATTGATGGCTGCAACTCGTTCGGTATATAGTTGGGATGTGATCGCATATAGAGTTGGTGATAAATTGTTCTTTGACAAACGCGATACGGGCGGTTTCTCAAATCCTGTGGGTGAGTAATGCTTAGATGCTAACGGCAATTTTATTACTTTCTTTACAAGTCATCTTTTGTCATGCTGATCACGCTTTCCCTAGTTGCTGATCACATTGTAGTGCTATTTCGATTGTGTTATCGTTTCTCTAAAAACGTTAGATTGTTAAGTTTACATCTTTTATTCATATCACTTCATCACGATCGTAATTATTGTCTTATAATTAAGATGCACTCACTGTAAGCGAAACTTCAACTGATGCACCACAGAGCGATGATCCAACGAGTATTAATCACCCACGAAATCTTGCCACTGAAGCGCTCTACATTAATCAAAACTTCAGACGTATGGTTCTGAAAAGGGTATTCACTACTCTTATTATATTTTCATAAAATTATTTTGAATTTTTATTTCATCTGAACGTTGTAATGTTTCTAATTAGAAAATAATTTTAATAAGTTTATCCGACGTTTAAAAATTCAGAATGAAGAGCCATTCAAATACGATCATCCGCGTTTGCCGTTCGACGAAGGCGACACGGACACTGATTCTTGTGTTGCTTACAAGTATGTCGCCTAATACCTTAGATTGTTGAACATTTCTCTTAGAATTTCGATTTTTCATGTCAACAATCGCACTTTGTTCTCTGTTCCAGTTTTAAATTGATTTTTGATCAGAGTTCTTAACTACACCCGTAGTTGCGGACAGTTGATAGATGTTATTATTTCTAAATGAGACTTACGTTCTTCCCTTCATACTTGTATTTATTATGACTGCTTTATGCAAAAGTGTATACATATGAAGCATCATCCCTTGGTCGCATTACTTCAGATATCGTTCATGGTCGTTGGGTCGAAATGCCGATGGAACTGAAGTTCGCCTGGTGTGTCGCACTGAGCATGATGGTGTTACGCTTGGACCGAACGGCGAACCGCAAACTCTGACTATTAAGGCGTTCAATGAATGGGATTCAAGGGTGAGTTACGTTCTCTTTGTTTCCATTAGCTTGATGTCAGGTGATCTCATCTGGTTTGGAGAAATGTTGGTGTTTGTGCTAATGTTTTGTTGAAGGTGTAAACTTTTTAGCTTTCGAGTGGTGTCGACTGGAGAAGTAAACTAGATGCCCAAAAGGGTGCGGTGTTAGCAACTGAACTGCAAAATAACAGTTGCAAGCTTGCTAAATGGACTTTACAGGCACTGTTGGCTGGATCTGATCAGATCAAATTCGGGTGCGTTAATTCTAATAGCATAAGTTTTTGAGCAGTAATAATTTCGATAGTATTTCTCTGAGAATTTCGATTTATCCTTTGAGCATTCGCACTTTGTTCTCTGCATCCGTTTTAAATTGATTGATTATTGATTCTAATTGCTGCTACGTAATTTGTAGCTTATGATTTTATCCTATGGTAGAGATAGATTTCAATTACTTTTCGAGTATGTTGTCGATTATTCAAAGATATGTTATGGCGATGAAGTGATTCGTAGAGAATAAAAGAACGGTCGGTGCGATATGCAGTATTTGATGGTGGCTGAAAAGTGCAATGAAGAGCGTACATAATGGAATACTCTCTTCAGGTATGTGTCTCGTGCGAATGTGCGTAACAGTGCTACTCATGTGATCTTGGGCACGCAACAATATAAGCCGAATGAATTCGCAACGAATATCACACTGAATCTCGACAATGCTTGGGGCATTCTTAGATGCATCATTGATTATTGTATGAAGCAAAAGCCCGGCAAATATCTTCTCCTAAAGGATCCCAACAAGGTAAACTTGTGTTTATTTTATTCATTTTTGAATCTATATGTTAATTTGGAAGCATATTCTGGTTATTCGAATGAAGAATCATTCGTTTAAAAAGAGAACGTCTCTATTATTGTCGAAGCAATATTGTTCTTCTTTAGCAAGTAGTCCGTCTGTATTCATTGCCAGAAGGAACTTTCGAATCGAGTGACGATGAAGACAGCAACTCGTCTAGTGATGTTGCGAGTGATGAAGACGTTTAATAAACACATTTATCAACTGATTGATTCATATTATTTGTATTCGTTTCAGTTTTCTATTCTGCTATTTTGGGTCAAATTTTAGTTTTATTTAATGTGAGGTCAGGGATGGTACCATTTAAGGCTAAGGGAAGTGTGTTGTGCATTTGGAGTTTATAGCTTTGTTCTGTCACGGACGACCGCAGCAACGAAATTCTTTCTCAAGAAAAACAACAATCTAAATGTATCGTTGACTGATACAGTAAATTTGAAGTAATGAAACAAACACATATAACTACTTTGGTTGTTGACTTTTTTATTTATGAAATTTTAGTGCTTTTCACATCTTGGAGATGTTTTTATTGTAGTGCTGAATTATTTGTTTTCTTTATTTAAACTTTGTTTGATAATTTGTTGGATTCATAAATAAACTTTTTAATTCAATGAACTTCATATATCTCTTCTGTTGTTTGTAATCATCTCAGGTTTCGATTACTTACCTCAATGCGTTTGATCTGCTAAAACATATTCATTGAAAATAGTCTACTGATGATTTGAGCAGAACATGCAGCAGCCACACATTGTTCAAATCGCGTAAATTCTCTGACAGCCAAAGATTTCATTCATAATTTTCATTTGACAGAAGTCAAACGAATGAGACTGTAACAGCTGGATGTGTGGTATTGTGATTCGGGGTTGTTCGTGAACTTCTGCGCAAGAAACATCCTGAATGTAATTGTGAATGTTGAAATTCGATTGGTAGAGGAATCGGTTGATGAATTCATAGACATGTGGGCTTCGATTAGGGATAGTGGCGTTTTGTGGATGCTTGAGAGTGCAGTGATTAGTGTGAAAAGTGGTTATTCGCAAGAGAACTGATCAGAATGTGGTGCATTTCATTGCGTGTTTGGTTGCCCGTCGGTCATTTGCAGCCGCAATATGATTTGTAATAAGTTCTTTTTTCTAGGAGGAATGCTTCCTTCAGTATCTGTTGCAGCTGAGATTTGTTCTTCATCGGTATCAGAGATGCCTCAGGAATTAGCTCGTCATCTTTTCGAGACTGGTGCTTTCCTGGTAATGAACTTCTGATTTGTTCATTTGAAGCGATCACATATTGCAGTTATTATTCACTTATCAGATTGAATTGTCGTTGTATTATTTTCATCCGAAATATTGCATCCATTTTGAAATTTTCAAATTGTTCAGTGTGCGACCTTATCTCACATCATAATAGCATGGATGGATGTAATGTACTTAAGATTTTTACTGGTGTACCTGAAGGAACTGAATTTGGAATTGATTACAAATCATGGCACGTCGGTCCAAAATTCAGTGGTTTGAAGATGATTCCGCCTGGCGTTCATTTCGTTTACTTCAGTGTCAAAACAGCTCCTCGTATAGGATTCTTTCATTGCTTCAAAGAGCAAGAGATTGTCGTGCGTAAATGGGATCTTACTCAAGAAGATCTATCGAATGATGTGCTAACTGGAGATGAAGTATGCATTTCTTACTACTTTCTGTTAGAGAAACATTGAGTCGATAAATATTCGTTTAGATCGATCGAATACGTTCAAATCTCAAAACTCTTGATAATCGACTTGCTCCGTATCCATACGAGAACTATCGAAGTTGGTTTGCGTTGAGTAATCATATAAAAGGTGAGTTTGATAGTATTCATTGTTGCATTCATCATACATGTTGCGTCTGAAAGTGCTGGTGAGCAATTATTACTCATTTGCATCAGATCGCTGTGTTTGAAACAAAAATGCTTTTCATCGAATGAATTTACAGAGAAGACCATCGAACGTTTGAATCCTCAAGATGCACGTGCACGTGGCCGTATAAGTGGTCAGGCTGAACTAATCACTCTAGAATCTGAAGTGGAAGCGGTGAGTATCTTTGGTCTGTGTTACTGAAAATTAGCAAACGAATATGATGAAGATTTGGGTTCAAATGATTATTATTATTACTGCATTGTTTCATTTAAAAATTTAGAATTTGGGTATTAGCTCATCACGAGTCGATCGTGAACATCCAACGCGATTTCGATTCGCTGACGAGAATGGTTTGCCTATAATGCGTATCAAAGAAGGTTTCAGCATTCGATACACACAGCTCGAACCTCCATCAGTAAATTTACTTTTTTTTTCATTTACATTTTCTATTAGTAATTATGAATATGAACGAACTCTTTTAATAATACCTCATTGCCTTCATCATAATTTGATATACATTCAGTTGAATCGTTATAAAGATGAGACTCATGCTATTTAAAACTGCACTGATATTTAAGTGATGTGTAGCATTATTGAGGTGAGTGATTCTGGTGTTGTCAATACTATGCTTGATCACAGTGAAAAACTTGATGGAATAATCGCAGGTCTCGATGGCGATTCCGATGAACTTTTGGCAGAAATTCAGTTCGCATTTATTTGTTTCCTTATGGGTCAGGTAATGTGTTCGAATTGTTGTTCGTTGATGTGTATTTGCAAGCTGTATGAATATAGTTGAATTGGCCTGTCTGATGATTTAAACGCATCCATCCTTTTCAGGTATATGAGGGTTTCGAGCAATGGAAACGTCTCATTCATTTGCTTTGCAGTTGTCAGCTAGCATTGTGCACTCATTCGGATCTCTATATGGCATTGTTACCGGTCATTCACTTCCAGTTGAAAGAATGCCCTAAGGATTTTTTCGTCGATATCGTTTCAAAAGATAATTTTCTCACAACGACACTCTCACGATTATTCGCCAACATCGAAGGTTTCTTGAGTTTTAGTCATTACTGATATTTTTATTTTTGAGTCTATCGAATGAGTGATCGTAGATTTTTATCTGGCTGAAATAAGCGAAGTGAATGTTTGTTTAATCATGAGAACAAATGTTGGGTTTTCATTGTTTTCTGCTGGAACTCTGTTGAATGTTTCGAATGTGAGCATCTCTTATAAAATTGAATGCTTTCAGATTCGGAGAATGCGAAAGCGGTCTTAAAAGAAAAATCAACGAAATTCAAAACTTTCCTCACGAAATGTTTTCGTTGGAACTTTGACGTTGGAAATGACTAAATCTGCAGATCGCTATCATCGTCCCGGAATTGCGATACATTAACTGATTGAGGATTGGAATCTCCATACGGGGAGCACCATTCGCCAATTTTTTGAATAAAAGAGTTTGATATTTTGTAATAACTTTGTGTTTGATTACTGATTGCTTTTGTTGTTCTTATCGTCATGGTAAAGTTGAACAGATTGGAGTTATTTAACGGATTAATTCGAGAAGTTAACATTATTCGTACGATTTCTGTTAATAATAACAATTTTCTCACCTCACTCATATTCAATTAACTATTATTTTTGATCCAAACAGCTTCGTTCTTTTGTGCGATGTTATAGACAAATGAAGAGCTTCGTTTGGTGAGAGAACTTGCAAATGTAATACGTAAATATGTTGTTAGTTGTTTCCTGTTGAAACTTGATTGTTGCATTCAGAAAATGAAAAGGTCATTATTGTAAGTACTTTGAAAGAATATCAGATTTATTGCTCAGCGGAATGCTTTTGTTGCAGTTAAACAAGATTGATGAATTTATCAAACTGTGTTTGTTTGTTGTTTACGAGTTTTTTTCACATACATTGTCTACCTCACGTATATGAAAAGCATTGTTGGTCAACTAGTTCAGTGGTTGTTGTGGATGACAGGAGTGTTGGGATTTGAGGGTGTCCAGGGCAACTGGAATGTTGTTGATTGAACTTTCCTCAGTAATTCTTCTGTAGTTGTTCAATAGTACTTTCGAGATTTTGAATCCTTTGACACAGCCGACGAATTCTGTGCAGAAAATTTCTGGATCAGTTGTGTGATTTTGCTCTGTTATGGCTAAGAAATGATGGATGGTCAAAGAAGAGGGGAGAGGGTTGCGTGAATTGTTTGGTGGGGGATAGGGAGAATGGTGCTCTGCCAAACGATCAGACAGAGGTACGGAGCGCAAGAGCATCAAAACCACTGATCTAGTTTATCATTGATCGTTTTGTTTCAGTTTTTCAATTCAGACGTAAACTTTTGTTTCAGCTTGTGTTTATTCTTTTACATTCAAGCTAAGTTGGTAACCGATCGAAGTTAGGTTGGTCAAATCCGATGAAATTCGATCGGAACCCGAATTACTCGATCTCAAATGATTAATTTGGTCGGATTCCTACTGAAAATTCTGAAATTTTATTGGAATACCGAATTTTAGAACCTTAGAAAGTCGCTTCATTCGTATTCCGACCGAATCCAAAATTTTTTCGGTTTCCTTCACCATTAAACGCATTTAAAAAATTCTGCTCCAATCACATTTATTTGCCAAAAATGAATGCCTTTATGCGTTGAACGTGCAGTATGTTTTGAAAAAGAATCACTAAATTGTTTTTAAAGGTGTCGTTGAACATTTCGTGAGCTGGGACTTCGACACGGGAGTCTCGAAGAAAAGATGAAAATTTAATGAAGACCAAGTAAATGAAAGAAAGTGTTATAATGACAGCAGGGTTTGCCTGGATTTGAAATGGGGTGTTTTACTATGATCGATGTGCACAGATGATAATTTGTCATGAGAACACTCAAATTTATTGAAAACGTAGTATTCAATTTATTGAGTTCATTCAACGTATTCGAGGGATGTTAATTTATGTACTCGTTGTGGTGCTACATTTCAACAGAACCGCATTTATGAAAACGTGCTGTTCATGTTAATTTTTGTGTGTTTAGAATAACACTTTTCAGACTCAACGGAAGTAATTTCTGTTTCAAAAAAAAAACAAAAACGTTTCCCTTCAAACGACATCCATCAATCCACTCTTCTATCGAGCACCTTAAGCAGATAATACATTACTAACTACCCATTATGGTTGATTACTGGAAAATACTGCCGTAAAAAGTGCAATCTTTTCACTCAGTCCATTTTATTGAAAATGAGCAATGGATTTTTGTTTAAAATGATCTCGAAATACGAATTGCGATGTGCACATTTGAGTGAGAAATGATTTTGCACTGGGATTGTTCCTTGTGAACGTTTCGTTGAAGCAATGTTACCGATATCACAGTGTAGATAACAACAATCAGATTATTATTATCATCATTGACACGAATAGACAATTGCGACGACGACAAATAGAATATACATCAAATGATGGATTACGAGAAGGTCGCCTTTACATCCGGCGATTGTTTGTTTACCGTTTAGCCGTCATCTGAGGGATTGTTTTCATGTATTATTCGAATGCGGTGATATGCAGTTGTTTTTATTCAGATAGATCCTTGGCTGTAAATTGAATGAGATGAAAACGTTTGAATTGAATCTGTGTGGATCATTTCATTCACTCAGTGATTTGTGCTGATCTATGTTGCTCATTCATGGATTAGGATTTTATGGCGAATTGGAAGTCGCAGGTTCCAATTTGCCGTAATTTGTTCAAAAAAGAATTTTGAATTTCTGAAACCAATCGATCATCTTTGTGAACAATTTGTTCAGTGCAAAATCCATTGAATCAAATTTGAGAAATCGCATTGGTTGAGATCAGATAAAGTGTTTTCTTGAAACAATCAAAACTTGGAGAATCTCGATTGCCAGAAACATAAATTTTTATCGGAGGTGACATCGCTACTACGTTCATTTCGAGTCTGCGTTAAAATCATTCTTAGATTTTGCGTTATATTCGAAATATTCGTTATACACTGAGAAGGACACGTTTGATACGAGGTTTGGACCGAATTGCCTCAGATAATTTTACTGATGAGCATATCACAAAGTGTTAACAAGAAAGGTTGATTTTATTGGAACTAACAAGCGTCTCTTCCGAAACGTATGAACGTTTGTGCTCGTTTACCGAATCGGACGAATGTTTGAGCTCTTTTGTCGAGAGGTCTTGACGCGGCATGCACGTCTTCAGCCGAGAAACCATTTTCAGACGCTGCTGCTTCTGAAGTATCTCTTCATTATTACCTCAGGAGATGCCAGCAATTACACCTCGATGAAATGCACGATTCTGCTGCAGTGCATCAATTTTGTTCGATAGTCACGGCTCAAAAGTATCGCGATACTATCTGCACACAGAACTGATGTTGTTCGCAACTGTGAAGATTTCAAGATTAAAAATAAAACACTCGAAATGTGTTGAATGGAAAATGAGGTACCAGCGAGAAGGTTTTCCAATAGAAGACGATATCGTTGTGCGTAGACTTTTTGTAGTATGTCGTCGATGTTTTGAAGTTCTAAATGTTACTTTTTTACTCCCGAAAAGCTTGTTGAACAAAATTATTATTCTACATTATTATCTAATATAAGGTGTATTGTCACATGAGAAAAGCGTTAATTTTGTTCTCTTATTGGTTTCATGAATGCCTCAACTCTAATTCATGTATTCTTATCGTGATGTTAAGCTGTTTTAGTAAATCACTATCCGGCATTCATCACAAAAATGATCAGTGACGTGTACGATAAAATTAAAATCATTAAACCTTACTGGGCTGAACTAATTCTTTACTATTCAGTTATAATAGCTGTCAGCTTAATATGGTTGTTAATTTGGTTTGCTTCCAGTTAAAAATTAGCGCAGTTGCAGCATTTTGCATAGAGTTATTTAATTTTGGAAAGAGTTCCTTTCTATTTGGTACTAAAATCGCCAATATGCGCCATTGAACCGTGTTTATAAAATGGAGGACTACTGATTTCTTGAGACAGTTATGGGATCTTTAGTGGACAGAGCATTCCGATTCTTGTGCATCCATAAAATCGTTTTAACAACAATTCGAGCAGTCTAACGATTTGCCATTGTATACCGACCGCTGTCTGATGAAACTGGTTCCTTGGCGATATTCAGTATGGCAGCATTCGACATTATCACAATAAATGCGACAAATCCAAAAAGAACGAAAACCGAAGTCATCTTAGTTAGGATCGATCTAAATCTGTCCTGAAAACATGCTAGTAAACACCATTACAAAGATTATTTCAGGCCTGTTCTCAATACAGCCTCATCTAATCAGCACAACTTAATCTATTAGATTCAGTGTACGTTTTGAACACTATAACAATAAACAAATATAAA